CTCTCCTCTCCTCTCCTCTCCTCTCCTCTCCTCTCCTCTCCTCTCCCTATTACTCATATACTAGAGGTGCTGAGAATTGTAAAGTGGAGGCCATATTGGCCAGAGAGTAACATAAAGTCCTGTGTATTGTGGTTTATTTCTGTCCTTGAGTTCTATGGAGGCTTACATTGATGTTCTTTGCTGTAGGGAAACGGACTCTTCCTCCCAACAAATAAAGCTTTAAAATATCAAGTATGGCTTGCTGTTATCATATCAGCATGTTTTGATCTCCAGTACATAATATTGCTGTAAATAGTGCTACAAGAAGATCAAACCTTGACTTGATTAATTTGATATTTGAATTTGTCCACACCTGATGGTCTGTCTATATTTACAGAGCAACTGCAGTGTGAATACATATGCATGCGTTCCTGGTGTGCCTCAGCTGTAGAAAACAGAGAGGTATTACTAAATGTTGTAAAAGCCTCTTAAGGACAGATTGTAGCAATTCTAGAGAACCCCGTCAAATACTATACAGTCTATATACTATACAGAGGGAAACGTCAAATGTCATTAAGTGCGGCTGGGACTTGGCAATACTTTTGTGGGTTGATTGGGCAAAATGTCACCTCCAATTCTGATTTCTGTCTCTCTGTGAAGATGGTAAAATCACCTATACTCCAGTGAGAATGCAGCATTGAAATAAGATGGAACACAGTTTGCATGGATTAATCATATATCTCTTCATTTCAGCTACAAGCTTAAAAATATTGCCTTCTTTTTTTCCACAGGTCTAGCTTTCTTTCCAGTCAGTATGAAAATACACAGTAAATGCAATCTGTTCTTCTGGAAGAAACACTGAGAGCATAAAGAGAATGGGATAATATCTCAGCTAGAGGGCTCCATATGTTGATGACAAGGTATGGTGTACTGAGAAAGAAATAGGATTAGAATTGTTCTAAGTACCTATGTGCTTCATATAATACTAGGAAGGAAATAACATTTTCTAAATGTGCAGCACTGTGCCAAAAGTGCAGGTGAAAAATCTTTACTTGAGCACAGACAGATGGGAAGCTGAAGTTAAGGCAGCATTGGAGATATGCACTATTGTAATTTGAGATTATTAAAAAGTTCCTCGCAAAGATTCCGAAGGGCCCAATCCTAAACACTACTGCAGACTGATTGTACCACGATAAAGGAGTAAATGCAAGAATATACTAATCAATTAACAGACTTGCTTCCACTACTCATAAGAAATGAAATTGCATTCAAGGGTGAATGGAAGTGTATGTTGCAACGCCTATTGTTTGCTTGAATTTAGTTATTTTCCTCAAAAGAGATGTTCAGAAGAGAAACAAAGGAAAAAAGTAAATGTTGCCCTTTTGTGAACTCTTCGGTGCTGTGCTTTTAGTGTGTGGTTATTGATGGCAAATAAAAAATATTCCAAAAGGCTGCAGCAGTGAGGTAAGATTTGTCTGGGCAGTCAGGACTGTTCTGAATTGCAGTTGGCATCAGTACAAGAAATATTTAGAGATGATTATTCCTGGAGTAGTCTGTAGTTGGGTGTTAGCTCTAGTGTGAATATACCCCAGTTGTGTGTATGAGCGGAGATTTGATTACTCATTTAATTCCCAAATATATCAGGCTGCACTCTGGGATGGAGTTGTCACTCACTGGTTAGGTAAAATACTGTCTTCTATTCAAACTGATTTTAAAACCCATATGTTTTTACCTTTGTTTTGGTTTTTTTTGAATGTGGAAACTGGAAAGGAGGTACAGAAGTGCCTCGGTGAACAGATGCTCTGGTAAGACAAAAGTTAAATGCATCCACTAAATTAGCAAGTTGCTGAACTTTTGATAAATTTTAATAAAAACCCACTTTTTTTCCAACCAAGGTTTGTCATATCTGACTAGTTTTTTTTTTTTTACACTGAATTCTCATTGCTTCTGAGTGGAACCTGCTTGAATGAAAAAAGGGAAAAATCAGGTGAGAGCTGGGTGTTATTTGAATAACTGTGACACATGATATCCTGCCCCAAGAAATCATTATAATTCAAAAGAAGAGTAATGTTGGTGCTTAAGTGTAGCTTGAATTCAGTCCATCAAAAAAGGCTTCTGCCCATTCTGAATTTTTAAATCATGCCATCTTTCAGCTTAATGATTCTTTAATATCAGCCTGCCACTCTGCCGAATATCTTAGAAGTTAAGTACTTACATATACATGGGCTGTAGTTGTAAATGAGATGTCTTCTGTGGACCTTGATAGCCGTAAGAGTCAAATCCACCTATGAAATCAACTGAAAGGGGGAAAATTGCTTGCATTAGCAACATCTTTTCAGAAGTGATAGGCCCTATCATTCGAGAACCACCCAGCACGTACGTTATTTTTGATGAGTCCTCTAATAATCTGTTAAAATTAGACAAGCTAATTGTGAAGATGCAGAAAAAGCCTAAAAGAGGAGAGAAAGGCAAAGTCCCCTGTTTTTCCTTTTTAAACCCACAGAAAGACAATATAGGATTTATAACAGCCATCAGAAATAGCCACACATCCCTCTTTTTCAAGCAGACCGCCTCACTGTAATACAAAACAACATGCTATTCAGACACCACAAATACTGAAAACCATTATTTATTGGCATGAATGCATTGCTTCTGACTGTGATTACTGTGTCTGGCTTTCTGTCATACCATTGATGTAGAGGAGAGAACACATTGATCAAACTCAGTCTGAGAGACAGAAGTTTCTCTTATTCCTTGCTTTGACATTTGGATTGAAATGCATGAACAGAGAGTTGGAACAATTTATCTGAGCTTCAGAGATGAAACTTCTCAGATGCAAGGAAACCTATTTCTCTCAAGGCACTGAAGGTCTGCAAGAAGTTTGTAGAGTGGGAGTTATTTATTAATTCAAATCATTGCAAGTTCCCAATGGTCTTTGCATGCTTGTTTTAAACAATTTCCAGGGAAATTCAAGCTCACCTAAGCTTGAGACCCCTGTTTCTCTGCTATAATACTTTCTTTGCACAGGTAAAATGGTGCCCTTTTCTTCCTTTGTCCCAGGAGACCCAACTATTGGCTTTTAGGGGTTCTTCGTGGGCAGTTCTCAATCCTGAAAAATTATCTCTTACGTTAGAGATGCGAATTCGACTTTACTTTGATAGAAAAGGGCCTAAGCTATGGAAGTGCATTTTTTACATGTCTTGGACACTGCTACTGACAGACTGGATCTGTGTACATTAAAAGCAGAAAAAAAAGAAAAGATTCTTTGATGGAGGACAGCTTCTTGTGGATCTAAAATGCAGCAACAATCACCAAAAAAAAAATTTACTATCCTTGGTTTGAGAACCTCCACAGTGGTTGGAGTCCTTAAAACTTGCATTTATAAGATTATTTTATACTAAGGTACCCCTCGATGTGTCTCACACTTAGCCACACTTATCAAAGTAGTCATATGCATCCTAGACACAGTACAAAAATATCAAATTCTTGTACACCTCTGTCCTCCATTTACTTTGCAAGCAAAGAGTTATCAAAACACTAGACTGGATGGGTAGAGCACATTGCAACCACACATTTGTTCAGCCTGTCATCAAGTCATTCTTCAGTGGCAAGAACGGCCCCTGCAGAAATAATTTATCTGACTCTGTTCACTGTGGCAGCATTATGCATACTCGTATCCCGGAATTACGTGTTACTAAATTAATTCCTGGTATCACTAATGAAGGAGGTTCTATAGTCTCTCTGTGTTGCTTTTTCCTGTGCCTAACTTCTAATATCTAATTTAAATGTAATTTCCTGAAAATTAACTACTTTTCTACATTTTGGCCTTTTCTCCCTATAGATATGAAGAAAAATGAACTTTTCTTTTTCTTTTTTTTCTCTTACAACTGCTTTTAAGCATTTTCAAAAGGTATTTCATGCTATCTATTGTTTCCAGGTTTAAGCAAACCTAGTTCTTTCAAACATTTCCCACAGCTCATGTTTTCCAAGCCTTTAAATTTCAAAGCCTGAAGATCCTTCCTCAGTCTACTTAGGCTTTTCTTTCAGTAGAGTGCACAAATCAGGACTAACTGGGCAACTGCCTGTAGTTTCTGCACATTACCTGGAATAACTCAGTTTTGGTTTGTTTGGTTTGTTTAGTTTGTTTCCTTTTTACCTTGTGCTTTTTTCTGTTGTGTCATCGTTTGGTTTGGGATTTTTTCTTATTTCTTTTTTCAACAGCAACATACAAACACTTAACAATCAGATCTTTATTTTTATGTTTTGATACTAACTGTAGGTCTCGCCAAGTAGTCCACATTTTATTTGAAGATGATTGATTCTTCCCCACAGGAGTTATTTTGCACTTATCTGTACTGAATTTCATCTTCTTGATTTCAAGCCATTTCTCAAGATCATTTTGACTTCTAATCCTATCTTCACTAGAACCCCTGTCTGTTTTAATCTGAAATTTTACAAATGTTCTTGCCTCTATCCTCCTTGTTGTTAACAAAAATAATGAAGAGAATTATTTCCCTAGCTGAAGTCCCAGTGGGATCCCATCTGAAATGTCATCTCATCTGGTTTATAACTACATTTCAAATAGAGTTTTAAACAATTCTGCATACAACCTATGATGGTTGCATCTTAGCAGTACTTCCCTGTCCTTCTTACAAATCTTCTATAGCATCAAAATCTTGCTAAAATCAGGATAAATGTCATTTGTTGCTTTCTGCTTATTTACTGTCTATAACCATCAGAATATTTTTATTAAAATGTGATCATGTCTTTGGAAGCATACTAAGTTTATAGGCACAGAATGAAGAAAATTGTTAAATGAAATGCTAGGCTGGGAGGAAAAAAACCCCTCTATTCAAATACAAAGATTGTAGAAAAAAAAATGGATGTATCTTTGCTGCATATAGTTTGTTGCTTGCTCGCCCCATTTTCTTTTTTTTTGATCTCTCTTGATCTGTGTCAAGATAAGTCAGAAAATACCTGTGTTGGATTGAGTGTCTCACTGTTGTCAACCCATGACACTTCACAGAGGTTGCTTATATACATTAGTCCAGCTTTCTATTTCTTCTGTACTTTCCTAGACCTTTCAAGTAACTGGTAAACCATTATAAGTAGGCTGCAGGTATAGACACTCTGTTTTGCAGTTGTGGAGCAAAAGGTCTTGAGGGTGACTTTAGGGTTGTTTCCAGAAAGCTAAACCAATGTGTTAAGAAAAAGATTTCTTTGAGCAAAATGAGTTTGCGTGGGCACAAGAGAAAGATGCATGCCAAATATCTCTTCATGCATTATGGCTTTGCCCTGTTGCACAGAGTAATTGTTGCACGGAGTGTTAACAAGCCAGATTGTCAAGCGACAAAGAAGGCAAGCTCGTAGAGACATTTCTGTGTTCAGCTCACTATGAAAGTTCCCATGTGTGTAACTAAATGATAGTGAGGCAGAGAGTACTACTGTGACCTCATTGTAGGCATACAATGTCTTCTTACAGGCAACAACAAACTTTGCAAGGTAGGTAAAGGGAAGTAATAGAAAGTGAACTCCAACACAAAAGGATTTCATTAATTTCTTTGTAGCAAGCTTTCTTCATGGTGGCAAATCCTGTGGTGTCCAGACTGTGCTAAAAGCTCCCTGTGGACTCTAAACTAGTTTCTTAAAGCATGCAGAAGGCTGCCCTTTCTGCAGGCATTTTATCCTGGCTGCGCCTGAAAGGTCACTAAAAGTGTCGTAGAACTGATACATCCCTGGCAGCAGTAACATCAGATGAATAAAATAAGGCTCATTAGCTGAATCAGTACAGAGGCTTCTATCCTTAACCTCATGCATCAAACACATTTTTGACTACTCTATTTTATATTCATCTTAAATGTCACTGTTATCACAAGTGGCTTTTAGGTCATGTTTTTCTTTAGTAAAAGCACACGTGATTATGCAAGCAAACAGGACCCTATTCCTTTTGTGGCGGGTTGACCCTAGATGAACATCAGTTGCCCACCAAAGCTTCTCTATCACTCTCCCCCTCTAATGGACAAGGGAAGAGAAAATACAACAAAAGGCTCACAGGTCAAAATAAGGACAGGGAAAGATCACTCCAGCAGTTATCATCACTGGAAAAACAGACTCAAATTATTAACAAAGAAAAGCAGAATAACAAGAGTTAGCACCAAATAACAAATACCTTCCCCTACCTCTCCCTGATTCCCAGGCTTAACTTCACTCCTGATTCTCTGCCTCCTCCAACTGAGCAATACAAGGGAATGAGGAACAGGGGTTAGGGTCAGTTCATTGCATGTTATCTCTGCTGCTCTTTCCTCCTCATACTCTTTCCCTACTCCAGGATGGGATTCTTCCCATGGGAGACAGTCCTTCACCAACCTCTCTAATGTGAGCCCTTCCCACGGGCTGCAGTTCTGCATGAACTGCCCCAATGGATTGCTTCCATTGGGGAATGCATTGGCAGCGCTACCCTTCAGGAACAGGCTGCTCCAACGTGGGTCCCCTGTGGTGTCACAAGTCCTGCCAGCAAACCTGCTCTAGCATGGGCTCCTCTCTCCACAGGTCCTGCCAGGAACCTGCTCCAGTGTGGGCTTCCCAAGAGGTCACAGTCTCATTCAGGGCACACCCACCTGCTCTGGCGTGGGGTTCTCTGTGGGCTGCAGGGGGACAGCCTGACTCACCATGTTCTTCACCATAGGCTGCAGGGGAATCTCTGCTCTGGTGCCCGGAGCAACTCTTCCCCCTCCTTCTTCACTGACCATGGGGTCTGCAGTCGCTGCTCTCTTATCCTCACTCCTCTCTCATAGCTGCAGTTGCACAGTAACTTTCCCCCTTCTTAAATCTGTTACCCCAGAGGTGCTACCGCTGTTGCTGATGGGCTCAGCCTTAGCCAGCAGCGGGTCAACTAGGAGCCGTCTGGCATCGGCTTTGTCAGAAACAGGAGAAGTTTTAGCAGCTCTTCACAGAAGCCACCCCTGCAGCCCATCCAAAACCTGGCCATGCAAAACCAATACACCTTTGAAATATTGGGTGTTGAGATGTTTATTTTCCTATCTGGACTTATAGGATAATAGCAGTACTATTTTCTGTGAAATGCATTATAAAAAATTCAGAGTATTTTCTTCTTTTGCTGATGCTAAGTAGCTTGTCAGACACATGACTGTTGTTAAAAGTGTAACACAGACAGAACATATGGCTCAAAATAGGGACATATATTCTATTAATAAGCACCCACAGAGATGTGAAATTTCAGCCTCTGCTCATGGTCACAAGTCCTCACTGTTTCTAGTGTATTTATCAGGACAGGATA